GCAACAAGTGGTGAGTTGCTCGACCAATGGCTACAGCATGGGATGCTCTGGTGGCTTTGAAGATGCTGCGCTCGACTACATCACGTCGGAAGGGCTGTGCTTGGAGCATGAATATCCTTACACGTCCGGCGAAGCGAATGACACCGGCGAGTGCTACGACTCGTGCACCAAGGTCAAGCTCGAAGTGGAGCCGACCGTCCGCGTGAATGGCGAAGAAGACACGATCATGGCATTGAGCTACCAACCAGTGGCGGTGGCTGTCGAAGCAGGCAACTACGAGTGGATGAACTACCGCAAAGGCATCATCGACCGGTGCCCTGGCGCGATCTCTGACCATGCCGTCATTGCCGTGGGGTACGATCCCTGGTCGATCAAGATCCGCAACTCGTGGGGCACGGATTGGGGCGAAGACGGATACATTCGCTTGCAACGTGGTGGGGAAGGCAATGGCACGTGCAACGTCGTCGAGTTTGTGTCGTTCCCCAACATCGGCGGCGTCACGCCCAAGCCAACCCCCGCCCCCACGACCACCACGGCCAAGCCCAAGCCCACGACGACCACCCCCGCGCCCACGACGACCCACAAGCCCGCCCCTCGTCCTGCCGTGTGCGGCTCGTGCACCGAATGCTTTTACCCGGCCGGATCCGAGTGCTTGGGCAGCGAGTACAATCAGGCCTCATGCGAGTTGTACAGTTCGTCCTACGTCACTGTGTGGTGTGGGTACTAAGGGCGATGCCGCTGTGTTGTTTTCCGCGTGTGATTTTCTTGTATCGTAGCGAGTCGGAGTGTAATTGAACGTGTGAATGCTCAATGTTCCACTCATCTCGCAACGAAAACGGGGATGAGGGTGGTTGTCCTGGTCAACCTTGACAACCCCTCCATCCTTGCGGGGGGACTTGGGGCTACATCTGCTCGACGTGAACGTCGTAAAAGGTGCAATGGGTCGTACACGTGCCCCTAGTTCGAGCGACCAACTAGCCGACGAAGAAGTATCGTGTTCTCGCTGGTTGTGCCCTTGATAACGGAAGGGATTCTGGATGAGTCAGGTGCGAAAATGTACACCCATGCATCGTCGATCCTCGGGAACCATGTACCAAGACTCGACGCCCTTGCCATCGCTAGGACGACGTAGGCACGATGTTCCGGTGCATCGGACCGACCAATTCCAACGAAGAGGTTGTCGGACGAGCTGGTAATCGAGTGGTCGTCGGTCTTGTACGATTCCTCGAGGTCGAACGAAAGAGGTGCACGACAAGTCGTCGAAAGACGCGATTGACCGACACATTTGTACACCGTCGCCACCACTGACAGCTGCATCAATGTGCTCTTGGTGTGCCTGCCGTTTGCAATCTATCTCTCGTACTACGTGCATGGAGCGACGTGGCAGTGATTGCATTCAACTTTCTCATGTTGATTCCGCTCGCCAAAGTAATCGGGGACGCGACGGAAGATGTCGCGTTCCACACGGTTGACACGATCGGCATCTTCCAAATCAAACGACAACGGGCACATGACCGTCCACGGGCACCTTTTGGCCACCTTGGGAATTGCGTGACCACTTGTACCAACGTATCTGGCACGACCTCTTCGTCGGTCTTTCGCCTTTCAACCGCACGATCCAACTTGCCCGACGTCGCGCACGACTGGAAAGACCGATCGACGAGGGGCTGCCTCGTTCGTGGTAACGGGACTGGGAACACAAAACCACGTTGGTCACAAGGGATATGAAGTCGGATGGCCGGTCGTTCGCTCTTGACCTACACCAGTAGATCAAGGGGACCGTAATGCAGATGCAGTGCAAAGCCCAGAGTCAAGGAAGGCCGGAACTGCGTCGCGATACGAGTCGTGGACGGTCATTATGGCCTTCTTGGCGTTATGGAACTCCAACACAAGAAAATCGTTCTCCTTCTGAAGGCAGAGGAGTTTGTCGACGCACTGCTTCTTGATGCCATCCCCCTTAGTCAAAGTCATGTCGAGTTCAAAAACGCGCACTTGACACTTCCGTGGGAACACTTCCGTGGGAACGCTTCGCTCGCAGACTACTGGCACACTACTGACCCTCGAGCTCCATGACGCGTATCTCGGGCGCATGCGTCGAAGGCCGTCGTTGCAGCTGGCTGTACTGAATCTTGAAGGACTCTACGTCACCAACTGCCGTGGCATTCGGGGCCGTGGCTTCGGGGGCGGACTTGAACTGAACCATTTTGACCTCGGTTGCCTTCCGGTTCGCCACAAAGTCGTTCCGTACAGATTGCAACGCCTTCTGGGATATCATATCGCCAAACTCAGCGCCTCCCACATCGACTCTGTCTCTCAGCGACCTTCGTCCGATGTCGCTTGCATTCGTGCGAGAGTCTGGTCAGTCGCCATGATCGCCAAGAACGGATCCAGGACCAATTCCGCGCTATGCTATGCGTCCCGTTCGATGGACCACTCGAGCTGGAGAGGGTGATAGCGGGGGACGGCAACGAAGACATTCTCGGACTTCAAAGCGGCATCTGCCATTTTGAACAAGAGTGCCTCCTACGCAACCGTCTGGTCACTTAAACGTTGGGCCGACCGGAGCGAGTTGTTGTCTCGGAACAGTCGCGACTTGTCGGTGTCCATTCGCGGCCGTAAGTGTATCGACCTGCTGATGCCACTCCTTGATCGATACGTGACGCTAGGCGGTAAGCGTGATGCTGTGTTCATACTCGTCGCGTCATTTCAAGGCGATCTCGCGCTTGTCCTTGAGTTGACGGTGGACCCAATTGACAGTCGTTAACCGTACGAAAGAGTGTCTGGTCATTGGAAATCGCTTTGATATATTCTGCAATGCCCTTTGCCAAATGCACACGTGTGTGAGCGGAATTCGAGAGCATTCCGGAGCTGCTGGGTCGTGGGGTTGGTCGAAGTGGAGCCGATCATGGAGAAGAGAAGCTGGATCATATGGTCCATGCTGGCCTGCAAATCGTTTGCGCGGCAAGTGACAAGCGTATGCACGTACGCCTGATATACAACTGGTCGGTCACGAGGTCGCGGATGGATATTTGGAAGAGAGCTGGAACGGCTGAGGTCTCTTGTGCCTGTCCTTCATTCGTTTGGCGCAACGCGCAGGCCCGGAGCGCTGCTTCTTCCTGCTCCATGTCGAGACGGTGGCGCGCGACTTCAAGGTCCGTTGCACGGACGTGCGGATCATGCACCTCACTACGACGCATCCAGTCAGCGTGACCATGTCATTCGTCGCTCCAAGCGTCGAGTTGGGCCATAGTTTCAAAGGAATATTTATCGCCCCGGCCACATCTCCGGAAATCGTGTATGCAGTGATAGCGGGGCTTGTCACGGCGTCTTCACGCTTCTGCTCCGTCGACACGGCGGAGCCGCAGCGGCATCCATGACCGGGACGATTTTGAACACCTCCAAGACATACGACGTCGACTTGATTGGCATGATTTCCCACATCCTGCTACAAAGTGGCCGTTGATTGGTCCAACGCGGAGATTTGGACTGAAAGAGGGAGATTTGTCGCAGCGTGCAGTTTCAGTACCGTAGTGGATTTGTTGTACTGACTGTGAAGTTCCCCCCGACTTGGACAAAGCACAAAATACCAAGTTCTCGCAGTTAATCAATTTCTGGAGATATTACTTATCATAGTTACTCGCCAACCAATGATGATTCGACAAATCACTCCACTTGCAATCCAGCCATTCGACGACCGAACGCCGACAGGTCGGAGTC